TGATTTTAATATTTTTTAGTTTTAAAATTAAATTTTTACGCCTCCATATTTTATTTATTATTATTTTTAAACTTTAGCCTTTGGATTATTTTCTTTGCATTTCATTTGAATTTAAGCTTAAGTTTTTACTTATTTTTTTCTCTTAAAAAGTAGGCTAAACTTTATGCATAGACACTTCCCCAAAGATTTGCAAACACACCTACACCAAGTAGTCCCACTAGCAGCCACCTACTTTAGCTATGAGCACCCAATTCATGTCTTTCTCCTTCCTCGTTCCACGCCATTTTAGGGCAAAAGAATCTCAATTTCATATCTGATGGCATGATGTGCTGTATGCAACAACAAAAGCAGCAACAATCAAGTCAAAGCAAATGCGACACCCAAACAAATCTGCAAGCAAAATCGGAGCTCAAGATCGCTCAAGTGGCATGCCACCACCGGCATCGCAAGCGCAGCAATGCAAGTGTCAGCGCTGCTGGCGGACACCCATAAKATCCATACTGCAACAACAAGAACCATGCAACGTGCTTGTTACCACAAAGGTTGCAGCTGAAAAGTAAAAAAAAATATTTGATTTAAAATGCAAACGAAATGAAAAAATCTTTATTATCGCCAGCGAAAACAGCAATAACAACAACAACCAACATAAAAGCAATATGACAACGCTAATACCGACGGTGACATTCGCTGATAGAGTTGCAAGTAAGAAGTGTTGCTGCTGGCASGATGCAAGGTTTCTACCACCGCCGTGCATCAGCTGCATGTGGCATGCCACGAAATGTATGCRATATCGTCGTATATATTTATTGGCAGTATATAAATATATAGTACAGTAGTGTTTTCGCATGTAGTTGTAGTTGTTGCTTGCAATATTTYTAAGCTATTGTTGCAGCTGTTGTTGTTGTGCCACCACCATACATGGCCATAGTTGGTTGGGTGCGCGGCGCACGCGCAACACGCATTCGAGGTCATAACCCAATTCCTCTTGGCTGTCGCCAACAACAGCAATCACAATAATATATACATTGAGCGGAGGATGTCACCAGCAAATCACAACAACAATAAAATATTTAGTAGCAGCAGTTGGCCTCAGCTGCCGTTATTGCTGCATTATCCATACACTATTTTCCACATACACTCAACCGGTCGGCATTTATCCCAGCCATCCAAGCAAGCAAGCATCCATCCATCCGGCGCGATCGCCGATCGACAGCGTGTTTCGTTGCTGATGGCGGCATCGGCGGCAGGCAGCAACAAGCGCGATAGCATTGAAAGCGCTTCAGTGCAGTTTTCCAATTTCCAATTGGCAATTTTCGTGGACACTGATGTCAGTGTCATCGCCATTTCCACTATCATCGCATTAACATCAGTCGCATTTGGCCGCAGCGTGCAGCTTGCTACTTGCAACATTTGATGCCACCAACGCCGCTTGACTTGTTTGGTGCGTTTTTCGGTGGGTTTTCCCGTTGACCATTTGAGATAATGCCATCGCTGCTTTATTCTTCTGAAAAGTTTCGAGTTTCTTTTGCATCTTTTTGCTGTTTTTGCCTTTAATGGTGACATATTTTCGCTTAGTGTCTATTTCCAAGCGGAAAACTCGTTATTAGTATTAACTACGTATGAAATATGCCTTTCCCTTATTAATTTGTTAGACAGTTTCTTTATCATATTCGTTATTATATTATATTACAATTTATTCTTGTGCTTTATCGAAGATTATTTTATTGAATTCAGTTACATTTTTTTCTGTATGAAATTTAATATTTACTTTATCTGAATTATCAAAATAAAAAAACATCATTAAATATTTTTAGTTAATTAAACAAATATCTAATTTTACTTTAAATGCGCGCGGTAGTGTTGTAATAGAAAATCTGCACTCCTATAAGAAGCTATGTGCATTGTAGGAGAAAATTGTAAATAAAACGCCAAATATTCAATTATTCATCAATATTTATTTTGTCGCCTTCAAGGTCCCCTTCGAAACACTTTTCATAAGCATTTWTTGGAATGTCCTTCAGTTCCTTTAGCGAATTTTGTTTTATTTCGTCGTTCAACTGGAAACGGTTTCCTCGGACCAACGAATTTAGGTCACTATCGTGGTTCAATGCAATGGTGCATTATCATCGTGTTACATGCATGAATTGTTCTTCCATAATTCCGGCCGTTTTCGAAGGATGTTCTGACGCGAACGCCTTAATACGGCCAAATAGAACTCCTTATTGACCGTTTGTCCCTCCTGAAAAAATTCATGATGCACCAAATCACGAAAACAATGAGCGTTACATTGAATTTTTTAGCGTCTTTGGAGTGGCTTTTTTTGGTTTCGACTCGTTTTTTTTTTTCACCTCTTCCGATGAATGTTGACTTGCTTGCATGCCAAACTCATCAACATAAGCCTCGTCGGCAGTTATAATGCTTCTCATGAATGTGGGATCGGAATTCGTACGAACAAGTATGTCCAAAGAGACCTGATAACGGTAATATTTTTAAAAGCAGTTCGGCTTAATCGAGATGAGTCCAGAAAGAACGTGTTTCATACCCAAAATATCCACTAAAATCATTCGAACGGACTCGCGAGAGATGTCGAGCTCTCATGCCATCTCTCTAACACTTTACTGCCGTTTTTTAAACACAATATCCTTCACTTTTTTTTTTTTATTTTCATCAGTTGAAGATTTTGAAGGCCGTCCAGAACGAATCATGTCTGCAACCATCTCTAAACCGTCTTTGAAGGCTTCATACCACAAAACAAACTGGTTGACAAATTGCTTTTATATTTGGCATAGTGGCCTACGGGCCGTCTTCTTCACTTTGTAAATATCATTTACCCGGAGAATTTAATTACAATTTTCGGGGGATTTTTTGCAACAATGTTAAGACTCAGCMTGACGAGCTAAATCGCATGTCCTCATCCCTCAGATTTTGAGATATCAATCTGAAATACTAAGGAAGGCCAAATTCAAGGCCAGAGTAGTATACGCTAGGCAATTTGCTTCAAATAGACTCGGAAAGTTCTAACAGCAGTACCAACATTCACTGAAAAATCATTGTTTCTAAAGGTTTAGCAAACTTAGCCTACATTTTGGCGCATTGCAACAATTGCCCAGTTTTAGGAGAACATATGGTAGAAATTTGAAAATGATATTATGGTCGCCAATTGTATGCTGTAATAATTAAATGAAAATGATTTAAAAATCAAAAGCACTACATGTGACTCACTGGCTCCCGTAATTTTTTTTATATACGGTATAATAATGTACCGATACATTAGGAGATTTAAAAAAATCCCCAACTAATTGCTATTAAATGTATATTATATTTCCCGTTCCCATAACATTTTCCCTTCCGTTATTGATAATTCGAAAAAAACACATACTCTAGCATTTTTAAATCAAAAAGTTTTTGAAAAGTGTAAAAAATTATTTTTAAATTTAAAAAATATTGGACAAGAATTGGCATTAGAACTGTGCATACGCATAGAATTTTGAACCAAAACACAAATAACCAAAGCGGTTTTTTCGATTCGAAATTTCTGTGCTGAAGTTTTGGCGTAAAACTACCTAAAATCCGAAAATCGTACAATAGCAGCTTAAAACAACCAAAGAACCCTAGAAGACAACAACAACTCCAACCCCAATTCAGCAATATTTTAGCAGCAACAGCAACAACTAAACCTAACCAAGCCTAACGGTACTAACTGCAGAACAGAACAGAAGTTCAAGTCGCTAACCGGAGGAAGCTTAACGCGAAGACGCGCCGAGTTGAACCGCTAACTGCGCTTATATGCGCCCATCCACAAAAACAATCACAGCCAAAGCAGATCACATCAACTGCGTACACTACAACAACAACAACTGCAGCAACAGTTACCGTAAGTAGTTGTTGTTAGAGTAGCTCAATAAGCTAACCCTAAACCACAAGCCAAGCGCCAGCCGAAGACATTTAGTCGCAAAAACAAGAATTCAAATTTTTATGCTCCAACGTAAATACTTGAACAAGAAAAATATTCAAGGATTACCCCAACAACAACAACTACATCGTACAGAATGTCTCTAGGAACACGTCAGACCGCCACCGAATCGGTAGCTGAAGAGGAGAAACCACAACCACGCTGGTTCGATTGGGTGGAGAGGAATGCCGTGCCGAAGCGCTTCGACTTTCCGCGGCCGAAACGTGAAGTGACGCGCTGGCAGAAGCGCGGTCCGATGACGCGACGCGATTGGGTGCGCTTCTATCGCTGGGCAGCAAAGAATGCCACGCCACGTGAAATACCGCCACCACATTGCCCCGAGCAACCGCCCGCCAAAGTCGAAGAGGGCAAGAAAAAGAAGAAGGAAAAAAAGAAAAAGACTTACACGCTCGCTGAACTGCTCGAGCACGCGGCCCAGATCAGTGAGCCGCGTGAACCACGTGACAAGTACATATTTCCACCAACGCCCGACTATCCATACGCGCCGAAAATCTCGCTGAAAGAGCCAGCCAAAAAGGATCCAGGACGACCATTTCAGCCGATCAAAGTACCGAAGTGGTTTCACCATCTCGAGAACGAGACCGAGTTTTGGTCGACGCTGCGGTTTCCCATCTTCCGTCCGGCTTTAAACTATAAACCGACTGCGAATATGCTGCGACTGGCGTTGCCGCGCATGGTGCCACCGCTACGGCAACATTGTCCGATACCCGAGCCGCCGATCGAGTTCGTGGCGCCACGCCGACGCATGACCTATCGGCAATGGCGCGAGCATCTGAGACGGCTGGAGTATCTCGCAAAGCCAACAGCGCGGCCGTACTACGTGGAAATGTATGATTACGTGTACTAGTGTCGTGCGAACTTAAGTTTATTAGTTTATAGTCGGAAAATTCGTTGAGTATTTATTCTCATTTATTATTACTTTATAATGATTTTAGAGCGTTAAGTTGTTCAGTGAAATAGTTAAAAAATAATGCAAATGCTATTACAGATGGTATTAAGGGAGTTAGATAACGGTTATTTTCATGCGCATGGAAATTGGCGACGTCGAAGGAAAGCGATTTGCATTGAGAAGTTTCCTTTTTAAGGAAATGTGTGTTGAGTTGTGAAGGGCGGGTTTGGGGCGCATCTCTTCCGAATGCGTCGTACGAGCACAATAGCTGCGTGAGCGTAAATGGCAGCTCTGCTCAGAAGATTTGCGCTGCTCTTGTTAACCTTTTTTAGATCCAGTGTACTCGAATGTAGTTTTCATACTCATGTATTTGGTACAAATTATATATATTTATAAAAATTATTTCCTGTAAAAAATTCATCTGAAAAAATTATCACATTGAAAATATATAGAAGATATGGTTTTGAAAAAACTGTAAATTAAATCAAATTAAAATGTTTCTCTCTAAATTGGCAATAGATAATAAAGGGTGTTATTTGAGAGTCGGAAGGGGTTGGTTTAAAAATCAACAACAACAGAATAAAATCGGTCAAACTGAACGGAAAAACTAACGAACATTTGATGCTATAAAACATAGAAACTGATCATGTCGAAGACTTTATCTACCTAAGCAGTAAATATCCGCGGAAACCGTGCAGGAAACAACGTTTTGCACAGAATAAATTTAGAAATAGGGACAAGTGCTAAGTTACGCCAAAACTATAAATCAACGCAAGTAATCTGACGTTTTACAGAAGTCTAATTTTGTATCTGTACTGCTTTACGTTTATTGGAAATAGTCCGCGCTTTGTTAATAGAAATGTCCCAACGACATCAGCAATGACGACCTCTTACAGAAAATCAAATTTAAAGCCAACGGCAAACTCTATTAACTCCAAAAATGGAGATGGATCGATTAAAATAGCAAAAAGATGTAGGTTGCCGACAAGCTCTGAATTGGAACCCTCAAGAAAGCCGTACGAGAGCCCACTCTAAGACCGCGGATTGTGCGGAAAATCGTGGCACAAAGTCAAGATGCTAACCAATACAGGGAACAGGTGAAAATGCTTTGTTGAAGCCTTATGCTGCAGGGTTAGATGCAAGAAATGATGATGGTGTAATCGTTACTGGGCTCTTTTTTCACATATGATCAGAATATAATACTGAGCTCAGTTCCAAGATATACTCTTGATTTTGCCGAGAACTTTTCATCGATAACTTTTATCAATACTCACGTGGTCTATATAATTAATAAAATTCCTATTTCAAGTAAATTGTTGAGGTCATCAACCAGGTGGATAGCGGCACCTTTCCAATTAAGGGACCGGACATTCCAGGTGCGTGCCCTTAAATCGTAATCCTCAATGCGATTTCAGTGGTCGTCATCAAAAAGGGCTCCTCTCATTCGAAGCTGTTTTCTTCTTTTCATTGGGGGTATTTTTACGTGGCAGGTCCCAAACCCAGCCCACAACCCTGGGGAACTGGTTGTGAACGAGTGCAAGACGAAATATCCCTTGTCATCAAGCAAACAGTCGTTGCAATCGCGACTTGGCTCCCATGTCCCTGTTGACAGTCATAACTAAATAAGTCGTGGATAATTTCGTCTMTCTTGGAACCAGAATTAACACCAAGCACAATATCTGCCTCAAACCCAACGCAGAATAACTCTTACCAACGGGAGCTACTTCGGATCGAGTAGGCAATTGAGAAGTAAAAGCTTCACTCTACGAAAAAAGACCGAACTCTATAAGTCACTCATCATCCCCGTCCGGCTATATGGTGGTATGCGGCATTGACGATGACCACATCTGATGAGTCGGCGTTACGAGTTTTCGAGAGAAAGGTTCTGCGTAAGATTTATGGCCCAGCATTGGCCTCGGCGAATGGCGCAGTCGATGGATGGAACGATGAGTTGTACGACGACATTGACATAGTTCAAAGAATTAAGAGACGGCGGCTACGCTGGCTAGGTCACGTCGTCCGAATAGATGAAAATGCTTCATGTACTCAACGCAGTACCCGCTGAGAGAAGCAGAGGAAGAGTAAGACCTCCGTTCCTTTGGAAAGTCTTGGTTTCGCTTGGAATCTCCAATTGACGCCAAACTGTGAAAAGGAAGAACGACTGGCGCGCTATTGTAAACTCGGCTATAACCGCTTAAGCGGTGTCTCCGCAATAGATATAGTCCGAACCTATGGTTGACGTTTTGCACCTTGAGTTACTTAGCTAACTTTGTTCGTGACTAGTTGCAGGAGTATGAAATGTTCGGTTGCACCCAAACATAGCTCTTCCTTACTTGTTGAGATTAGATTATTATTATTATGTTTTTTTAAATTTTTTATTTGAGGTCAGATTCACTGTTTTAAGTGCCTTTATGAGAGTTTGAGAAATCCTGCTCTTTCAGATTTTATTTCCAAAAATATTCCAGAAATATAATCAAGGATAAAATAGCGAGTGGAGAAATCCAACTGTTTGTGGCAAACATTGGACAAAGAAATCGAAGCATTATTTGTATTTTAGATAACCGACAATAATAACAACAAAAATATACATATACATAAGTAAAGAGTTATAATACATAAGTAACAAGGTGTTCGATTATGCGCTTGTTGTTGTTGATTTCTGCATGGCTGTTGTCCTTTTTTTTCTCGTTTTTTCAAACTGCTAGTGTCTCCATTGAAAGTAGGTGCACCACCGAACGCGGCAAACGAATTGAATTTATTTCGAAGTATTTTGTAACCGTAATATTGATAAAACTTATGACAATGCCGCTGCCGAAATGAAATTGTTGCAACTTTTAGCAAAACACTTATATATATGTATGTATGTGTGTGTGCTTTTATAGTTCGGTGCGGCAAGTTGAGCTCTGAACGCGTTTCGCTTGCCACACTGCGCGGTTTAACGACAGAGGCGGCCGGGCGGCAAAGCGAGCTAAACAGTAGCGCCAATCAAACGGTAAACGCGGCTAAAGCAAAGTGCCAAACTTACAAATATACCCGTCAAACAGCCATTGCCAGTGAGGTAGTCAGCCAAGTGGCCAAATGGCCTAGTCTGTCATTCAGGCGGCGAGGCGACAGCAATAAATACTCGTAAAATCAAATGTCGTAGCGGCGCATCGTTGCTTTTGTTATTTTACGGTTGCCATTTGCATTTAATATTTTATTTTATTCTTATTCGTTATACTTGTTGTTGCTGTTTGTGTGTTTCACTTGCCTTGCGAATGGCAGAAATCGAATTGTGGTAGGCTATGGAAACTTTCGGGCAAACTTTTCACACACACATATACACACTCATACAAAGCCCGATATTAAAGTGCATAACCACAATCTGCCACGATAAGGATAACCAAAGCATACAAAATGCATAAATTTATTTGAATTTATAGATGTGTTTGTGTGTGTGTGAGTGTATTTGACGCGGCCTTGCTTACCTTTTATTGTTAGATTCGCTCATCGTGCAATTCTCTACATGTGTGTGTGTGCGCGCTTGTGTTGCCTGGTATTTGGGGCATTGCATTTGCATTTTGAATTGCAGACGACACGAATAATCAATTTATTTTGGCCAACAATTTATTTATATATGTATGAATGTGTGTGTATGTAGCTATGCATGTTGCGCATAACGGCAATATACGAAGGAATGACAATACGACACGGACATTGAAGTCATACGCTTGTTTCAATAATTAACACAAATAAAATACGCTCATAAATAATGATTCGATGTTCCAATGTTTCCTTGATATTGATTGTTATATTAATAAATAGTTTCATTGACTATAAATTTCTGCGTATTTATGGTTTTGATAATACGAACTTCAATAAAACAACAAAACAAACGCTACCTTCGGCTACAACGAAGCTTCAATACCATTCTTCAGTTTGTATGGCAGCTATATGCTATAGTACTCCAATCTGAAAAATTGTTAGCAGTTTGTACCGTTGTCTTAGGCAATAATCCTAGCCAATATCTTCTTGATTAAAAAAGTTTTTCATACAAGGAGAGGATTTTGATCGATCAGTTTGTATGACAGCTATATCCTATAGTAGTTCGTTATCGCCGGTTCCCGTAAATGTGCAGCTTCTTGGGAAGGAAAGGGCGTAAGCGATCAATATCTCATACACCAGGGGACAATTCCACATATACCAAACGAAGACGTTGTAAACCGATGCTTTTGTTACAACCAAGAGCTCAAAGAAAGCCATTTTCTTCCTAAAAATATTCTTATATTTCATAATTAAAGTTTTAGTAGGGTAGTACATTTTTGTTCTCCAAAATTTCATTAATAATTATATTTTTATATTATAATTATATTTTATTATAAACATAATATTATATTTTGTAAAATTTACTGTCAGAAATAGATTTACTACACTTTTTGGATCGGTACTAGCAGTTCCAAAAGGAGGAGTCGGAGTCCGAGGACCGTTTCGGTCTCTTTGTAAAAAGCATAAAGGGATAAAGCCTCATTTATTTACTACAAAGAACAATAACTCTTTTTCCCACATATAATTTTGTCCACAATTTAAACTTGATTTTAAAGACTTTATGAACCTCTCCAACTAGCAACCCAGTTTAGTGCTCATTTTCCCACTGAAAAATATTTGAGGGACATCTGAACTCTTGTGCAATAACTAGAGATTCCAAGTTTTGTTAGGATCAAACATTTTGTAGCATGCTCTGGGCGTAACAGATCTCCTAACTGTACATGTATTGTATGTTTAAATCTTCTCCGTGAATAGTTTGTCCGAAGTGGTCAATTGAATTGGTCGTTCTGGATATAAGTTTTTACATGAAGATGTTTCAGAGACTAACCATTAATGAGCTACACAGAGGATGTTCTCACTACTCTCTTAAAAAAAATGAAAATATAAATCGTCTTCTTCTTAATTGGCGTAGACATCGCTTACGGGATTATAAATACTGTGATCAAATTGACAGGCGACGCGTTTTTCGAATCGGTAAATTGTTTTTTTTTTTTTTTTTTTTTTTTTTTTTTTTTATTTTTTTTTTTTTTTTTTTTTTTGTAAGTTTAGAGACATTGA